CCTTTTCTTACTTTATTAATGAATCACCTGAGTTTTAATTAGGCACAAGACTACACTATGCAAAAAACACTTCACAACCCCTCATGAAGCTAGATGTGGTCATATGCCTAAGTTCTAGGCATGGGATGTGAGTACACGTGACACCTGCTGCTCCTGGTTGTGCAATGAATATGGACTCTTCTTCTTAGCTCTGGCTCACTGGGAAGGGCTATTGCACTGGACAACTCCAGGGAGCACGCCTGAATTGTAATCTAGGTGAACAGTGCTCCCTGCCATTGTGCAATGGGATGTGGTGGCCCTGCCCCTAGCTGTGATGCAGACCTCAAGACAGAGCTAGAGCTGGTATCCAAAAACATTTTACCACAATTAGAAATGATCTGTGAGTTTGATTTTTCCCACTTTGTAAACATGATATGTACGGAGTGTGATTGTCAAGAAATCAAATACTGCCATAATTTAGGTAGACATAGCCAAATTATTTCAAAGTAAAATTTTAAAAAATCCTTTCCAGCCACGGCCAGGTGGCTCAGTTGGTTGGAGCATTGTCCTATACACCAAAAGGTTGCAGGTTCAATTCCTGGTCAGGGCCCATACCTAGGTTGTGGGTTTGAGTCCTGGTTGGGGTGCATACAGGAGGCAACCAATCTATTTCTCCCTCTCTCTCTCTCTCTCTCTCTCTCTCTCTCTCTCTCTCTCTCTCAAATCAATAAGCATATCCTCAGGCAAGAATAAAAGAAAATCCTTTCTAATGTTTTAGCAGAGAAATAATAGTTGATATGGATATGGAAACATTCAAATATTGGATAGGATCTATAAAATATACATATCTAAAGCCAAGAAATTCTTAGAAACGTCTTGATCATTCTTCATCCCCCAAGATAGAAATTCAGAATCATCTCTGATGTTTTCCTAGTAACTTATTCATCCAGTAAATAGTGAGCAATTATTTTCAGATAATATATAGAGTGGAGAAGAGTATCCAGATTGTGTCAGACATACCTAGATCTGAGTCCTCAATCTGCTAGCTACTGGTTGTGTGACTTTGAGCAGCCTCTGTAGATGTCTTCTTACTGTCAAACAGAGTAATAATGATACATATCTCTTATGTAATAAAGAATTTTACTGCACTTTGTCCCTGATTCGTGGGAGGGTGAATTTAAATCCTGACTTTCCCAAATAATAGGAGTGTCTTTGTTATCATGTGCTATTTACATCATAAACATGAATTTCTGCTAAGGATGGGGACTGGTCACCAGAAAGACCAACCCCACAATTAGAGGGTTGGGGCTTTGAGCCAGCCTGACCTTCAGGGAGTGGAGGACTAGAGGCTGAGTTCAACAGCCTGGCTAATGATTCAATCAATCATGCCTATTTGATTAAATCCCAGTAGAAACTCTGGACACCAATATCCAGTAGAGCTTCCTGGTTGGAGGAGACATCTGCTGGGCCAGAGGGTGATACACCCTGATTTCACAGGAGAGGCCAAGGAAGCTCTGCACCCAGAACCCTCCCAGGCCCCAACAGTGAGTCTCTCCGTGTAACTGGTCCCGATGTGTATTCTCTATAACAACACAGTAATCGTAAATATAATGATTTCTTGAGTTCTAGAAAACCATTGAACCCAAGGGATCATGGGAACCCAGGTATTTGTAGCCATGTTGACAGAAATTCAGGTGGCCAGGGGACACCACCCCCAAAGTTCAGGTGGCATCTGAAGTGAGGACAGTCTTGTTGGGAACTAACAGATATGTACCAAACAAAGAGCTGCAAAAAATGCGAAGCAAAAACTGATAGAACTTAAAAGGGAAATAGCAAAATCCACAATTACGGTTAGAGACCTCAACACCTTCTCTTCTATGAACAATTGGTAGAACAACTAGAGAGAAAATCAGCAAGTATGTAGAACTCACCAACACCATTAACTGGCATATTCTAATTAACATTTCTTGAACACTGAACCAAACAACAGCAGAATACACATTCTTTTAAAGTGTTCACAGTCCAGCCAGTGTGGCTCGGTGGCTGAGCACTGACCCATGAACCAAGAGGTCCCCCTTTGGATTCCCAGTCAGTGCACATGCCCAGGTTGGGGGCTCGATCCCCAGTGACGGTGTGCAGGAGACAGCTGATCAATGTTTCTCACCCATGTTTCTAGCTCTCTATCCCTCTCCCTTCTTCTCTCTAAAATCAATAAAAAAAATAAAGTATTCACAGTACATATACCAAAATGAACCATATACTGAGCCATTAAAATTTTTTTAAAGAGAATTGAAATTAAACAAAATGTATTTTCAAACTAGAAATCAGTTTGAAATAAAAATTACAACATACTTAAAAATAATCCAAGGGTCAAAGAGGAAATCTTGAGGGAAATAAAAAATAAATTAATTAAGTGTAAACTCAGAACATATCAAACTTTGTGGTATATAGATAAGGTCATACTGAACAGGAAATTTTTATGGCACTAAATATATACAATAGCAAAGAGGAAATACTGCAGATCAATTATCTAAGCTGCCGCTTATAAAACATAGATAAAGAAAAACAAAATAAACTCAAAGCAAGCAGAAGGAAGGAAATAATAAAGATAGGAGCAGAAATTAAAAAACATTAAAACAAGAGGAACAATGAAACAAAGAACTGATTCTTTGAAGAAAATTTTAAAAATTGACAAACCTCTTGCAAAACTGACAGAGAGCCCTGATGGATTTGGCTCCGTGGATAGAGCATCGGCCTGTGGATTGAAGAGTCCTGGGTTTGATTCCGGTCAAGGGCATGTACCTTGGTTGCGGGCACATCTCCAGTAGGGAGCGTGAAGGAGGCAGCTGATCGATATTTCTCTCTCATTGATGTTTCTAACTCTCTATCCCTCTACCTTTCTCTCTGCAAAAAAATCAATTAAAAAAAAAAAAAAATATATATATATATATATATATATATATATATTTAAAGACAGAGAGAGAGATAAAAATAAGCAACATCAGGAATAACAAAAAGGACATTGCTACAGACAATGTAAACATCAAGAGGATAATAAAGGGGAAATGGTGAACAACATAGACTGATGAACAAAACAGACCCAGAAATAAGGAGCCATGGGTCAGACTGTTAGACCTCAGAGGGAGGGTGGAGATAAAAGGGAGAGATGAACCAAATACATATGAGCCTAACCAGTGGTCAAGGACAATAGAGGGTTGGGGGCATGAGTGGGGATGGGTGGGGGTTTGGAATGGGGTTGAGGACAACAATGTGATACCTTAATCAATAAAAAAATTTTTTTTAAAAAGAGAGGTTAATAAGTGAATACTATAAACAGCTCTTTTTTTTTTAGTTTGGTGACTTGTTTAAAAAATTTTTAAATGTATCTTAAATGTTTTTAAAATATATTTTACTAATTTTTACAGAGAGGAAGGAAGAGGGATACTGTTAGAAACATCCATGAGAAATGGTCATTACCATACTGTCCTATAAATCTAACATAAGCTATAGGAGGTTTTTGTCATAGCCGTTGGTAATCAGTGAGATTTGATGATAGCCATCTTAGTTGTCTAGGGCCTTGATGTCCTTTGTCTAGCTAAATCCTTTCAGTTACCATACAGCTTGTGATCATGGTCATCTCTATTCCTGTTACGTAGGACTGACTGAAATGGCATCAGGATTGAGCAAAAAAGGGAGTAAGATGATTAAGACTCAAACTCAAGAGGAACTAAGGCAATGGAAGAACTCAGAAAATGTGAAATTCCTTAAATAAATGAAAGTTTATTAACTTTAAACAATTGTGCCTATGTTACAAACAATAAAAGCCCTCTATATCTTTTGTAAAAAAAAAATATATATATATATATTATTGATTTTTTACAGAGAGGAAGAGAGAAGGATAGAGATTTAGAAACGTTGATGAGAGAGAAACATCACTCAGCTGCCTCTTGCACACCACCTACTGGGGATTTGCCCGCAACCAATGCACATGCCCTTGACTGGAATCGAACCTGGGACCTTTCGGTCTGCAGGCTGACACTCTATCCACTGAGCCAAACTGAACCGGCTCTATACTTTTTGTAGAAAAAAAAAGGGGGGGGGAAGGAAGGGAGGAAGGGAGGAAGGGAGGAAGGGAGGAAGGGAGGAAGGGAGGAAGGGAGGAAGGGAGGAAGGAAGAAGGACGGAGGAAGGACGGAAGGAAGGAAAGGAAGGAAGGAAGGGACAGGAGGAGGAGGGAAAAGAGAGAGAGAAGGAGAGAGAGATAGAGCGAGAGAAGAGGAGATAGAGAGGTATGACGAGAGCGATGGACTAAAGCACCAACCCTACTACCGAAATACTCCACACCGCATCCAACTACATACGCCCGATACACCGACAGAAAGCAAATAACTAAAGCCCTCAATCCACGCTCAACACCGAAAGACACCTCAATGAGAGAGAAACATCGATCAGCTGCCTCCTGCACACCCACTACTGGGGATGTGCCTGCAACCAAGGTACATGCCCTTGACTAGAATCGAACCTGGGACCCTTTAGTTCGCAGGCTGACACTCTATTCACTGAGCCAAACAGGTTAGGGCTCTTTATTGTTGATAATATTATAGATGCCCCCGCCCCTCCTGAACCTTTGCCAGACACTTGTCTGTGTCCCTGGGCTATGCATATCGAAATATGTAAAAGGCTAAGTGACTGACCGTTAAAAAAAATTAACTCACACATGCACGATACATATAAAGCTCTCACTGGTGCCAATCGCATGTATACAGGGAGATATTAGAATAAGTTTAATCAATTTATCAGATATTGTCTTTATCAATGTTATTTTTATTGTTTTTATATCATGTTTTTGTTGTTGTTACATCATGTTGTTATGAATGAATGGAAGACACACACCTTACTGGATCTTGGGATCACAGCCCCTCAAGAGCCTGTTCCCAGCACTTTGGAGCTGCAGCTCCGCACGCTCCCTAGGCCCCGCCCCCGGGCACGCCCCGCACCCAGGCAGGAGGCGGGGCGGCGCGGGCTCGGCGGGCACCATGCTGCTCCCCGCCGTCCGGCTGGTGCGGCTGGGCCGGGTGCCGTATTCCGAGTTCCTGGCGCTGCAGGAGCGCTGGCTGCGGCGGCTGCAGGCGGAGCCGGGCGCCGAGGGCCCGCCGTCGAGGACAGAGGCGGAGGCGGGGGCGGGCGCGCTCCTGCTCTGCGAGCCCGCGGGGCCCGTGTACACGGCCGGGCTGCGCGGCGGCCTGACGCCGGAGGAGGCGGCGCGGCTGCGGGCCTTGGGCGCCGAGGTGCACAGCACGGGCCGCGGCGGCCTGGCCACCTTCCACGGCCCCGGCCAGCTGCTCTGCCACCCGCTGCTCGACCTGCGGCGCCTGCGCCTGCGCCTGCGCGCCCACGTGGCGGCGCTGGAGGCGTGCGCCGTGCGCCTGTGCGGGCTGCAGGGCCTGCGGGGCGCCTGCGCGCGGCCGCCGCCCTACACCGGCGTGTGGCTCGGGGAGCGCAAGATCTGCGCCATCGGTGAGCGTCCCGGGCCGGCAGGCGGGGCGGGGCCCGTGGAGGGGTAGCTGGCGTTTCGCTGAAGAGTTTTTTACGCTTCTTCAGACTGATATATTGTATTCAGAGCCAGAAGGGCCCTTAGATTAGAAGTCATCTTGTATAAGGTGACCAGACGACCTGCTTTTGGCGGGACAAATGGTTAAAAATCGGGACGTCTGGTCACCTCAAATTTTTTTTTAAACATATTTTATTGACTTTTTTGCAGAGAGGAAGAGAGAGGGATAGAGAATTAGAAACATCGATGAGAGAGAGTCATTGATCAGCTGCCTCTTGCATACCTCTTACTGGGGATGTGCCCGCAACCAAGGTACATGCCCTGGACTAGAATCAAACCTGGGACCTTTCAGTCCGCAGGCCAACGCTCTATCCACTGAGCCAAACCGGTTTCGGCTGGTCACCTTAATCTTGTACAACTTTCCAAATGGAGAGAGACACGAGAAGTGAATTGCCCATTGACAGTAAGGACACTTAAGTACTTATCACTCTTTATTTTTAATTTTTAAAAATATATTTTATTGATTTTTTACAGAGGAGGAGAGAGGGATAGAGAGTTAGAAACATCGATGAGAGAGAATCATGAATCAGCTGCCTCTTGAACACCTCCCCACTGGGGATGTGCGCTCAACCAAGGTACATGCCCTTGACCAGAATCGAACCCGGTACTTTTCAGTCCGCAGGCTGACGCTCTATCCACTGAGCCAAACTGGTTTCGGCACTTTTATTTTTTTAAAGCAACAAAGCAAATGTGTTGAAGACATTTTCTGAAATCTCCGTAATAAGTGTAGCATAGCACTGCTTCCTTCACTTTGCACCCCTCTGACCTGTACACACACCCCCTTGGGTGCTTGCTCCAGGCACAGTTGGAAAATCAGTGATGCAGTCCAGTTCCCTAGACAAACTGAGTGGGATTCTGCAGCCCGGGGAGGGAGTGTGTGGCCTCTTAACAGCCTTCGGCTTGTCTTGCAGGAGTCCGCTGTGGAAGGCACATCACGTCCCACGGCCTGGCTCTGAACTGTTGTACAGATCTCACGTGGTTTGAGCACATTGTGCCCTGTGGGCTGGTTGGGACAAGCGTCACTTCCCTGAGCAAGGAGCTCCAGAGGCACCTCACGGTGGACGAAGTCATACCGCCTTTCCTGGAGGCCTTCAAGGAGACCTACAAGTGCACCTTGTTCTCAGAGGACAGTTCTAACTGAAAGGCATTCATGTTACCAGCCCGGAGGTTCCTGCCTTGGAAAGCACCAAGCCTGACGTGGAGACACGGAAACCCAGATTCTGGATGTAGTCCTGTCATTCACTCACCATGAGACTGTGGGCCAATCAGGAGCTCTTAGCCAGTGTTTTCATATGTAACCTGGCTTATTTATAACTTCCCCACCTACCTCAGGTATAGAAGTGGAAACTTGAAAAGTAACACGTGCTTATTCAGTACGATGTATTAGCCCAGCCTGTGTGGCTCAGTGGTTGAGGGTTGACCTGTGAACCGGGAGGTGATGGATCCCCAGTGTGGGGCATGCAGGAGGCAGCTGATCAATGATTCTCATTATTGATGTTTCTATGTCTCTCCTTCATTCCTCTCTGAAATAAAAATATATTTTAAAAATAAATACAGTGCATTAGCACTATTAATACCACTTTCTAAGCTAACAGTGTCATTTCTCAATTATTGCTTCCTCAACACTGTATTTAATTGGGCAATTCTAGGCTTCCAGTTCCTTTGATTGTGTAGGAGTCATGTCTCTGGTTGACCCAGGGGAGAGTGATGTGATGTGGTGCTTTCTGCAATAAAGGGAAACCTCTTAAAGAATAGGACCCTGTCTGCCTGGGTTAGACTCCCCAAGCCTGACAGCTACTTTTAGTTAGGTAACCTAAACTAGGCCAAAGTCTGGGGGAAGATAACATTTCCCAAAGATAGAAGATTGCCTATATGAGATCTCTTAATTATACAAAGCTGTGTATTATTTATTGTTGTATAACACATTACCCCAAAACAAAATCATTAGACATTATCTCATATATAGTCTATAGGTCAGGAATTTGGGGGAAACTTAGCTGAGTGGTTCTGGATCAAGGTCTCTCAAGAGTTGTAGTCAAGATGTCATCTGGGGCTGCTGTCATCTGAAGGCTCGATGGATCAGCTTCCAAGGTGGTTCACTCACTTTGTTGGTTGGTGCTAGCTGTTGGTAGGAAGCCTCAGTTATTCACCATGTGGGCCACTCCATAATGGCCACTGAAATATCCTCGTGACCCAACAACTGGCTTCTCCCAGGAATTACATGGTAGCTATTAAGGTAATTCACCAAATAGTTCAGGTACATGGCAGGATTGTGCTTTGTGGCCAGGTAACTTGTTCTGGTCAATGAGTTAGGAATGGAGGTGACATGCCACCTCTGAACTGGAACAGTGAATTGCTGGTATCAGACCCCTTATAGTTTCTTTCTGAAACAGTGACCAGCAACATTCAAGATGGTGGCTTCTTTCCGAGGGACTGCAATGAGCAGAGTTACCTGCTGCTGATGGATATGTAGTGGAATTAAGTCACCAAAATGTGGGGGTTGTTCATCACCACAGCATAACCTCACCTATTCTGGTTGGCAATGATTATATTAGTTAAGTCTCTCGTATTTGCACATGTAGAAACCCATCTCCAACTAACTTAGGCAACGACTCAATGACAGAATTAGAGCATGTATCCTTTTATGAACCCTGATAATCTTTTCTCTCCTAATCTCTGCCAGGCTTCTTGGTGTGTTTGCTTCTTTTTTCCTTGCTTCCATTAGTTCTCTGTTTCCTAGGCGACATGGTGGAAGATGGGTGCTGCTGCTGTTATCCATGAGTGTTGGCGTAGAAGATATCCCTTGGTTGCTGGCTTAAGCAATTGAGTGGATGCTACAAGTATTGCTGGGATGGAGAACCCTGGATTAGGACCAAGTTTGGAGAGGAAGAGAGTTCAAGTTTAGATAAGGTTGAGATGCTGTGGGAGTTACAAGTGAAGAGGATCAGTTGAGTGTGTGGATATGGAGCATGGGTATGTGTGAGTGATGGGCTACGTTTGGGAGCCCAAGGAGAGAGAAGGCAGAGGACTGAAAAATGTGACGTACAATCTGAGGAGCAGGCCAAGGAGACTGAGAAACAGTAGGCAGAAAAGTAACATGAGGCCTAGAATAAAACAACATGACAGTCTCAGTTACTCTCTGGCAGCATGGTGAGATAGTAGGATTATTTTCTGGATAAGAAAACTGAGGCTCACAGAGGCTAAGTGACTTGTATGAGGTCATGCACTTAGGGGCAAAGTCGATCCCTGACTCCCAATCTGGGTGTCTCCACTCTCCCACAGCTGCCTCTGAAGAGTGAGCGGGGCAGGCATCCTGGAAGAGACATGCCTCCAAGAACAGGTGGAGCATGCGTTGGCAGGGCTGGGAGGATGCAGAGCAGAAGGCTGGAGTTTGGCTGACTCCTCTTCCTGCCTGGAGAGAGCCCACCTCCGGTTTCCCACGGGAGCCCTTCCTCCAGGAAGGAAGCTGACATCTGAAGGAGGATATTGAACACTCTGGCTTTCCCGCCTCCAGAAAGCCTCTTGTTTGTGCAGAGCCTTGTCTCCATAAATAGGCAGATTGTCCAGGGTCAGGTGAACCAGTGCTGAGTGTGAGGGTGTCACCAACCGCAGTGACCGGCCCAGCATCTTGTTCCTCGGCGAGGCGCGCAGGAAACCAAACAGAACCAGCTCTGGCAGTGTGGCCAGGTGCACTTCGCTTCGTGGAAAAAGCCTCTCTCTGAAAACCCAAGGAAATTAGATGTTTGTGATCTAAATCTGATTTTTCTTTTTACCAAGTTGTAATTTACCATTCGTTATTAACATATCCTAATATAACATCTATAAGTTTTTTATAAAACAGCATTTATACTCCCAAATAACAATACATCCCTTTCATTTGTGTGTGTATCTGGTTGTTGTTCATGAGCAGACATATTGTATGTATATTTAATTATCATGTGGGCAAAATTTTGTATACTCTTTAAAGCATACATATTATAGATATTTTCCCATATAGTCTTTATATTTTTAATATGTTAATTTTTATTTCTTTTAAAATTTAGATTGTGTGTTTTTTATATGGGTAATGCATGTACACGGAATAAAATTAAGAAGATACAAAATAGTAGCATTGAAATGTAAGTCCTGTTCCTATCCCTTCCCCCTGAAAACCCACTTCCCTTTCCTGGAGGCCTAAATGATAGTAAATGTCTTTTTCATATACGTTAGAGATAGTTTATGCATATATAAGCATACAAGATTATATGTGTATATACTTTTTAATCCTCACTGATTTCTAGAGAAAGTGGAAGGGAGGGAAGAGGGAGAGAAAGAGAAACATCAACGAGAGAGAGATACATCCATTGGTTGCCTCTCACATGTGGAGGAACCTTCAACTGAGGAATGTGCCCTTGACCAGGAATCGAACCCATGACCCTTCAGTCCGTGGGTGGATGCTCTAACCAGCCAGGACTATATATTCCTTTTTATATAGTTGCATACTATACAGACAGCACTGCACTTTGGAGATAGTTTCAGATCGGTATGTAAAGAGCATCCTCATTTTAAAAAAATGACTATGGAGTATTCCATTCAGTGAATTTACCCTGACTTATTTAGCTAGTACCCTGTTGAGGACGTTTAGGTTACTACTAATCTTTTCCTTTTTCAAAGAAGGCTGCAATGAGGATTCATATATAGATATATGTGTATGTGCATGTGTGTGTGTGTGTGTTCTATGATACACAGTGAGTACAAAGATTGCATTTCTAGAAGTGATTTTCTGAGTTAAAGGGTATGTGCATTTTTATTTAGATAGTGTCATATTGCCTACCATAAAAGTTATTCCAATTTATACACCCATCAGGAATCTATAGAGAAGATGCCTGGATTTTAATATTCCCACATCTTAGTGTTGTTTTTTCATTTTAAAAGTTTTTTTTTTTATTATAAATACATTTTTAACTTTAATGAAACTCTATTTTATTTTATATTAAATTTATTGGGGTGACATTGATCAACATGAATATATAGAGTTCAGGTGTGGGTTTCTACGTTATAAGCCTGTAGATTGCACTCTGTGCCCACCACTCAAAGTCACATCTTCTCCTGTCACTCCCTTCTTCCCCAATCCCTTCTGTCTGACCATCCCCACAATGCTGTTTGTGTCCATGAGTTTCAGTTTTATATCCCACTTATGAGTGAAATCATATAGTTCTTAGCTTTTTCTGACTTACCTCACTTAGCATAATGTTCTCAAGGTAAAATCTTTTTTTTTTTTTTTAATATATTTTATTGATTTTGTACAGAGAGGAAGGGAGAGAGATAGAGAGTTAGAAACATCGATGAGAGAGAGTCATCGATCAGCTGCCTCTTGCACACCCCTTACTGTGGATATGCCCGTAACCAAGGTACATGCCCTTGACCGGAATCAAACCGGGGACCCTTCAGTCCCCAAGCCGACGCTCTATCCATTGAGCCAAACTGGTTTCGGCTCAAGGTAAAATCTTTTAACCATATAACAATGAACCCCTGTGTATCAGTCATGTGGCTAAAACAATGATCAACTCATGGTCAATCTTTGTTTATCTAACTGGTACCACTTCCTACTTCCTCTCTGGATTATTGTGAAGCAAATCACAGATACCACATTATTTCATTAATAAGTATTTCAATATTTATTCCCAAAAGATAGGACTATTTATTTTCATTTATTTTATTATTTTTGTTAATCCTCACTAGAGGATATTTTTCCCATTGCTTTTTAGAGAGAGTGGAAGAAAAGGAGGGGAGAGAGAGAGAGAGAGAGAGAGAGAGAGAGAGAGAGAGAGAGAGAGAGAGAGAGAAACTGATGTGAGAGAGACACATTGATCGGTTGCCTCCTGCATGCACCCTGACCACAGCCAGGAATCAAACCTGCAACCCAGATGCATGCCCTTGACCTGGAATCAAACCCACAAGCCTTCAGTCAGGGCCAATGCTCTAACCACAGAACACACTGGCCAGGGCTGCTTGCTTTTTAAAATAGACCCTGGTCAGGTAGCTCAGTTGGTTGAAACATCCTCCTATAAACCAAAAGATTGCAGATCCAATTCCCAGTCAGAGCACAGATGCCAATGGGGGTGCTTATGGGAGACAACCAGTCAATGCTTCTCTTTCTCATCAATATTTCTCTCTCTTCTCTTTCTCTCTTCCTCTCTCTCTCTCTTTCTCTCTCGCTCACTCTCTCTCTCTCTCTCTCTCTCTCTCCTTCCCTCTCTTCCTCCCTTACTCTCGCTCTCTCTCTTAAAAAATCAAAGGGAAAAATATCCTTGGGTAAGAATAAAAAATAAAAAGCATAATCATAATATCATTATCACACAGAAAAAATGTTTATTTGATATCAACAAATATTCAGTTAATATTCATAGTCCTCCATTTTTTTTTACAGTTGGTTTATTTAAATCAGGATTCAGACAAGGTCTGCACACTGCGTTTGGTTCATGTGTCTTAGAAATGCCTCATAGTCTCTTTTCATCTGTAGGTTACCTCTCCATCTTGTTAAAGACCGTTTTTCTCTTATATTTCCTGTAGAATGAAAGGTAGATTCTTATGGTTTTTTTGGAGGTTGGAAGGGGTGGAGATGAAGAGGGGATTAGACTAAAAGTTCTAACCTTCTAACCCACATGTGTCAAACACAAGGCCCGCGGGCCAAATCCGTCCCGCCAGGCCTTGCAATGTGGCCCGCACCGCGCTGTCATCACTGCACTCCGCTGCGTTTCCATCACAATGACAGTTTCTGACTGTTCAGTAAACCATTCGGCCCGCGATTTAGGCTGGATTTTAGATTTTGGCCCCTTCTCTGATTGAGTTCGACAATCAGAGAATCTAACCAAATGGTTGGCAAACTCATTAGTCAACAGAGCCAAATATCAACAGTACAACGAGTGAAATTTCTTTTGAGAGCCACATTTTTTAAACTTAAACTTCTTCCAACGCCACTTCTTCAAAATAGACTCATCGAGGTTGGGGTATTTTGTGGAAGAGTCACACTCAAGGGGCCAAAGAGCCGCATGTGGCTTGAGAGCTGCGGTTTGCTGACCACTATTCTAACCACATGGTTGGCTCCCCTGGCAACCAAATCTCAGGCGGGTGCTTTCCAAATATCACCTCTTTAAGATAATAAAAGACACCTTTGTCACTTAGGAAAATCCCAAGGCTTTAGGAGCTCTGTGCCAAGAACAAATATACACTGAGTGGCCAGAGATCATAATAATC